CCCCCCCCCCCCGTTGTCTGAGAAGCTAAGCTGTTCATGGCTTCTCATTGCTAGTAAGAAGGCACTCTGTATGTGCTTGGAAGCGCTCATTCTTTTCTTTGCTGTGCATTGAACCTGACACATGAAACCTGACTTGACTCAAATCCTAAATATATTTTGGGCGGTGATGACAGATGGACTAGCACAGGCCAGCAGTTGTTGTCCAAAGAGCTATTTATACCAGCTGAGTCAGACCCAGGCCTGGGAAAGGTGGTGGGGCAGGCAGAAGCACTGCTTGTCAAGGACAGGCACCACACAGCAGTCGGCGCATAACGTCTGCTGAAAGAGGTCAGGCCCAGGGAGGTCGTCTATGTCTGGATCCTCCTCCTCCTCCTCCTCCTCCTCCTCCTCCAGGTGGCGTTCCCTGGGGCTGGAAAAGGAGCAGCAGTGGCAACAAAGGAAGTGGGAGCGTGCCAGGTGGCCAAGACCCTGCCAAGGGCCAGAGGAACTGCACCAGCATCTCCGGCGGCCAACAGCAGCCTGCAAGGAGCCACTGGTGTGCCATGATATGGTGGTGCAGAATGCCCTGTACACAGGGGACCTCACAGAAGTGCAGCGCCATTTCTCCGAGCATGCCGAGGTCAACTTGGTCATTGAGGCCAAGAGCCATGATCTGCGTTGGACTAGCCATAAATGGGGTAAGAAGAACTGGGGCAGAAGGAGGGTGAAGAGAGGTGGCTGGTTCCATTGAGTGGGGGTGGGCTGCTCAGGATGCCTGCTCTGGCCGAAGGAGTGCAGGGTGGGGAGGGGGGGGTTGTGCTGTCCCTGTGCATGGGGGACGAGGCCCTTGGAGGGGGGAGGATCAAGCATCCCTCATGTCCTTGGAGAAGACTTTGGGAAGCCACACAACAATGAGTAGAGGGGAAGCAGGCTTAATAATAATAATACCATCTATGTCACTGATTGTCTCATGTAATACTTCTGTGTTATTTTATTGTATATATGTTATACTGGAAGCCACGCCAAATTCTCGGAGAAAAAATTCTCCTAGAGTGGTCGGAGAAAGCCGCCTAGAGTGGTCGTATAGACCAGATGGATATAATACAAATAGATAGATAGATAGATAGATAGATAGATAGATAGATAGATAGATAGATAGATAGATAGATAGATAGATAGATAGATAGATAGATAGATAGATAGATAGATAGATAGATAGATAGATAGATAGATAGAAAGAACTCTACCAATCTAGCTCTACCATGGTATAATAATACCATGTAGAGGGAGGGAGGGAAGGAAGGAAGGAAGGAAGGAATGGCTTTCATGTCTCCTTTCTTCTGCCCCCAGAGCATTCTAGCTTCTAATGTTTTATGGGTGTTGGTCTTTCTTCATTCACTTTCGTGCCTCTTCACCAGAAATCTTCACCAGACATCTTTCTTCCAAGAAATTCTCAGCATCATGCGATAAACCCACATTTTAGATATTTCTGTCTTTTTTTTTTTTTACAGCTGTTTCTCTTCAGGCTCATGACTCACTTCCACATGTTATGTTTTTTAGCATGGTAATTGATCCTTTTCAGTATTTGTATACTCACTGTTGTCAGCTTTTATATTTTCTTTTAATGATGTAAGTCTCCTTGGGTCCTTTTAAGAAGAAAGGCAGGGTAAAAATATTTCAAATACAGTAAATAAATAAATAGAGCCAATAATACACAGCCTTGGGCAGTGTATATTTTCAGGGCCCACATTAAGTTTCTTTACATCCTTCACCCTAAGGAACGCACTTTCAGCTGCCTCAACTCTTGAGTTTTCCTCATAGTGGTGATTCCATTCTCCATTCTATCCAATTCCAAGGGACTCACATTTGCCAACAACTTCTACACATTCATGTTGGCGTTTTTAGGGCCGCTCTCTTTCTATAGCTTAACATAAGCTCACTTTCTGTGTGTCATTTTGGAACTGCTTTCATTAACAACTTCATTGGCCAGAATTCCATTCAAGAACCTTCCGCCCCACCCCCCAATGGATAAGGACTGTCAACTCTCACTGTGTGATTGATTATGTGATCACCCCCTCTACTCCATGATCCTGAAACAAAACTCTGGTCATTGGTTCTACTAAGCACCTTTTGCAAACATGGTAAGCTGCCACTTGTAATTCAATACCATATGCATACCAGATGGCACTGATAACTTCTCCACTGACCAGGATACTTAGGCATCCTTCAGTCTCAAGAGACGATGGTCACATGCTCTACATGGAGGACTTGGAACAGTGTCTAGTGTGGCTGAGGAGGCCGATTCGAGAGTGACAATTCCTTCCACACTGAAGACAAATCCAATCTGTCCCCTGTCCAGCTCCCTGATTTTGCTGCTTTTGTGACTTCCTCTTTCCCTCGTCCTGCTGGACAAGGGTCTCTTCAAATTGGGTGAGGCCGTGATGCAACGCCTGCCTCCAGGCTGAACGCTCAGATGTCAGAGTTTCCCATCTGTTGAGGTCCATTCCTAAGGCCTTCAGATCCTGCCTGCAGATGTCCTTGTATTGCAGCTGTGGTCTCCCTCTGGGGTGATTTCCCTGCACTAATTCTCCATACAGGAGATCCTTTGGAATCCGACCATCAGCCATTCTCATGACGTGCCCAAGCCAAAGTAGACATCACTGTTTCAGTAATGTATACCTGCTAAAAATTCCAGCTTGTTCTAGGACTACTCTATTTGGAACATTGTCCTGCCAGGTGATACCAAAAATCTGTCGGAGGCAACGCATATGGAAGGTGTTCAGCATCCTCTCTTGCTGTGCATGAAGGATCCAGGACTCACTGCAGTACAGGAGTGTGCTCAGGACACAGGCTCTATAGACCTGGATCTTGGTATGTGTCGCCAGCTTCTTCTTGAGCCATACTCTCTTTGTGAGTCTAGAGAACATGATAGCTGCTTTGCCAATGTGTTTATCCAGCATAACATCTAGAGAGAGTACTTTCTTTTGAAACAGCAGGCACTTTATTTTTATTTTATTTATTTATTGCATTTATTGCACCTATCTAGTCAGCTTTGCTAAAGATGGTTCCAGAATGCTAATTAAAAAACCAGTGGCAAGAGTACACAATCACAGTTAACACCGAGAAGAAAAGTTAAAGGCATCTGAAGAAACAGGGTGGCTCCATGAGGAGCCTTCAGTTGATCTGAGATATAAAAAGGGGTCAGGTAGAAAATGTAAAAAGCTGGACAAACGACCATGGAGGATCATGAAGAAGGAGCCACCAGTATGTCTAAGGAGAAGGGTTAAAGCTGAAAACAAGCTCAAACTGACACAGTATCAAAAATATGAAAATGTGAAGTGTTCTGCTAGGCACAGAGCAAGGCGAGGGATGAGATACAAGCAGGCCCCCTGCATGGACAGAATGGAGAAACATGAACAGGTGACAGAGGGAAGGCTTAACATCTACTTGGTGTCCTCCCAAAAGGAAACAGTACCCAACCTAGAGCAAGCAGAAGAAGCTACTGCCCAGGGACAAAACAACATATTGGTCTGAAGCTGGTGCCAATATGAAGCTACTTCCGGTCATTTCACACAATGGTGCCCTTATGGCCCTTCCGTACAATGCACATTTGGCCCCATTTCAAAAAACACTCAGGCTTCAGCTGGACAAGGAGCTCTTCCTCTTCCACAGGGCTTCCTTGTCCAGAGGGCATCTGGGCAGGAGGAGCAGCAGCAGCAGCAGCAGCAGCTGGGGAAGCCTTCAAGGGCCAGGGAAAGTGACCACCTCGGCTGAAATGCCCTCCCTGCAGCTGCTGTCCAGCCACCTTGTGGAGAAGGAAAGGCAGCCTGTTCCATGGGGAGGCTCCATTTCCACTGCCTTAGAGAGGAGCATTTTTCACTCCAGATAATCCACAGTAAAAAGCTTATTGTCAGTTATTTGCAATGTGTAATTCCAGTCCAAGGTAGACAGAGGGGTGGCATGGGTCCATCCAGCTGCTTTATATGAATGCAAGCCTCTTGGGGCTGTTAAAACTGCACTCAAGGGCATTAAAGAAACATGCAGGTGTCAACACAGAACCTTTGGCTACATCAAGGGTGGCTCATGACTGGGGAGGGAGGGGGAGAGGCATTTTCCTGGTTTGGGGGAAAGATGTGTCCCCCCCATGCTTGTTCACAAGCCACTTCAGTCTAGCATCTTTGAGAATTCTTTAAGAACAAGGGAAGTCCCCTAAGACTGGACGCGCATTGTCTCTCTCTTCAATGAGGTGGGAAAAGAAGATTCAGGCAGACTTTTGGCAGTACTAGGAAATGTCTAGAAGAAATTGTTACACATTTGCTCTGTGAGCCCATACGAAAGAATGCACTGATTAATAAAAGCCAGCAAGTGTTTTTTTGAAAAGATTAATATTGTCTCTAATGCTATCTCTCCTTTTCCAATGTTCAAAATCACAAGCCGGATAGGTGAAATGCTTTGGATGTAGCGGCCAGAATTCTTGGTCTCAGCAATGCCAACCCTCATGACGTCCTTCTGGACAACCTGGTGGTATCCTTAGGGCTAAACAAGGCTATGGCTGGGACCTTTAGCTACTTGGCAGGAACAGTTCCTTGCCATCCTGGAGAAGTGACACGCTGGAGGCCTCAGGGTTCTCTCCTGACTTTGGAAGCATGGAAAATGCAAAGTTTTACTTTTAGTTGTGAAACATCAGAGGCACAAAATGTAGGTTTGGTGTCAGCTGGCTAGACCACAATATATGTGGGGGGAAAAATCTAAGAGGGGTCTTAACAAACCACAAACTAAACATGCATAAACAGTGTGACATGTGGAGAGGGGAGTTAACACAATGCTAGGTTGCAACAGTAGAAATCCCAAAACAGTACATGCCATCAAGTCACTTCCAAGCTATGATGACCCTCTGAAAGAATGGCTTCCAGTAATAGTATCATTGTTTTCTACTTTGGTCATGTTGCAATTTTTATTTAGATGATTAAATCTGTTTCAAGAGCTCTGTTAGGAGGTCTCATTCTTGGCAGAGTAAACGGTGATGGTTTTCCCTCTGAGCATTTTAATCCCATCTTATTTATCTGTTCTCTGGAGCAATAAAACCAGACAGATGCTAACCTTAAAATAAAATAATCCTAAATTTATTTAGAAAAAGGATAGATGAGTTTGTTTATTTATTGGGCAGAAAGGCCTCCCTTAAATGAGACAGAAGAGCCTGCCAGAGGGTTGGATTCGAGAGCCACTCTTGGCACCCCCTCTAGAAGTACCGCTCTGAGGTCCTACGATCCTGGCATATTCCTCGGTCCCTTCGGTCCTCTGCTCTGTGGATTCTCTGGGCTGACTTTTGTTGCCAGAACAAGATGGAAATTATGTTGAGATCCCTTGAATGTTGCTTGTTCTGTGCCCTCCTTGAGGTGCCTCCTACTCATAGCAACCTTATACATGAGCGCTCTCCAAAATATCCCATCCTCAGCCACTCTGCTAAGCTCCTGCAGACTCAAGCACATACTAGTCTCTTTTAGAGAATCAGTCCATCTCACGTTGGGTCTTCCTCTTTTCCTGCTGCCTTCCACCTTTCCCAGAGTCATTGCCTTTTCCCCAGAATCCTGCCTTTTCATGATGTGTCGAAAGCAGGACAGCCCCAGTTTCAACATTTTGGCTTCCAGAGAGAATTCAGGCTTGATTTGATCTAGGACCCACTTGTTCATCAGGCAGT